TCTACAGTTTCACGTGCCTTAAATGGAGATGTTAATGTACAGCAGTATTCCAGCCTAGAGAGAACAAGTGATTTAAAAAGAATCTTCATTGGCTTGGCATCTCTTATCTTGAAGTGTATATAAGGTCACCCTGACATATTACCTGGAGTATACCTGGAGGGTGTTTCGGGGGTCAACGTCCCCTCGATTAATTTATCCTGTCTATCTGGAGTTACTGAGATAAATATTCATTCAATTTTGCTGTTAATTAGGAATATTTAAATGGCATTATTTCATTTAGAAAAAGATTAAGACTCATATTTTTTAAACTTTATTTATTTAATAAAAGCTTATTTAAAATTTGTAAAAGAATGTTCTCAGTATTTTGGTGTTTATCATTAAATATCCCAGTAATAAGATAACTTCGACAACAGTCACCACAGTATATACACTGATGTACACACATGTCAGTGTAGTAGATAGCAGTCACCACAGTATATACACTGATGTACACACATGTCAGTGTATATACACTGTCGATATTGAGATAAACACTTGCGTTCCAGATGTGGCCTCTATCTCTCTCTCTTGCCCGGTGGGCATGGGTTCACGGGGACGGGCTGGAGGGGGCGTATATCACACCAGCTGTGGGCGTGGATGCGTTGTTGGTTGTGTTTAATGTTGTTTTGTAAGTGTCAAACACTTTTGGTGCCCTGGGGGGAGCGGGGAGGAGCGGGGAGTGGTGGGGAGAGGCGGGGGGGAAGAGCGGGGAGGAGCAGGGAGTGGCGGGGAGAGGCGGGGAGGAGCGGGGAGGGGCGCCTCGAAGCTGAACAAATAAGCGGCTACCATCATTACCCTCAGTTTGTGGCCGCCACTACTCCTCTTCTTCCCCCTCTTCTTCCTCCTCCTCTTCTTCCTCCTCCTCTCCTTCCTCTTCCTCCTCTCTTCATCTTCCCATTAAAACAAAATCTTCCTACTACTCTTCATAGTCTTTTTTTCTCCACATGCCTCTTCTTTTCTTTATTTTCTTCCTTTTTATATCATCTTGTATATGTGAGAACATTTCAATCTCTATAGAGCTTTATCAAATCATGTTTCACTCTATATAGAGCTTTATCGAGTTATGTCAGCGTAGAGCGTTATCAAGTCATGTTTCACTCTGTAGAACTTAAGTCATGTTTCACTCTGTAGAACTTAAGTCATGTTTCACTCTGTAGAACTTAAGTCATGTTTCACTCTGTAGAACTTAGTCATGTTTCACTCTGTAGAACTTAAGTCATGTTTCACTCTGTAGAACTTAAGTCATGTTTCACTCTGTAGAACTTAAGTCATGTTTCACTCTGTAGAACTTAAGTCATGTTTCACTCTGTAGAACTTAAGTCATGTTTCACTCTGTAGAACTTAAGTCATGTTTCACTCTGTAGAACTTAATCAAGTCATGTTTCACTCTGTGTAGAATGTCATCAAGGCATGTTTCACTGTGTATAGTGCTTTATCAAGTCACGTTTCACTCTATATAGAGCTTTATCAAGTTACATTTCACTCTGCGTAGTTATCGTCATGCTTCACTGTGTAGAGCTTTATCAAGTTATATTTCACTGTGTAGAGCTTTATCAAGCTCAGATCCATGTAGAGCTTTATCGAGTTGCTTTACTTTGCACAGAGCTTTATCAAGCTGTTTTTCTTCTCGGTGTAGAGCTTTATCGAGTCATATTTAATTCTGTGTAGAGCTTTATCATGTTTCACTCTATGTAGAGCTTTATCATGTTTCACTGTATAGAGCTTTATCATGTTTCACTCTGTGTAGAGCTTTATTAAATGTTTCACTGTGTAGAGCTTTGTCAAGTCATGTTTCACTTTGTGTAGAGCTTTATCAAGTCACGTTTCACTCCCTGTAGACCTTTACCAAGTCATGTTTCACTTTGTGTAGAGCTTTATCAAGTCATGTTTCACTCTGTATAGAGCTTTATCAAGTCATGTTTTACTCTGTATAGAGCTTTATCAAGTCATGCTTCACACTGTGTAGAGCTTTATCAAGTCATGTTTTACTCTGTATAGAGCTTTATCAAGTCATGCTTCACACTGTGTAGAGCTTTATCAAGTCATGTTTCACTCTGTATAGAGCTTTATCAAGTCATGTTTTACTCTGTATAGAGCTTTATCAAGTCATGCTTCACACTGTGTAGAGCTTTATCAAGTCATGTTTCACTCTGTATAGAGCTTTATCAAGTCATGTTTTACTCTGTATAGAGCTTTATCAAGTCATGCTTCACACTGTGTAGAGCTTTATCAAGTCATGTTTCACTCTGTGTAGAGCTTTATCAAGTCACAATTCCATAACTCATGATTTTCGTAAAATTCCCTCGATGTTTTCCACTATTTCTCTCTTTTCCTGACTTGTCAGTATGTACCCCCACCTGACGCACGAGCCTCGCATCATGTATGTTACATGTCAGTGTCTAGTGCTAGCTATGAATAAACGTTAGTTTGATAGCCCTATTTAGCACCCCGTATCTATCCTGTGGGCAGTAGTCACCCCCATCCCATCCTGTGGGCGGTAGTCACCACATACCCATCCTGTGGGAGGTAGTCACTCCCATATCCACCCTGTGGACGGTAGTCATCCCATTTTCATGCTGCAGGTGGTAGTCAAAATATTATAGAGATATATAATGGATCAGAGAATGGGCCCCAACATTTACCTAGACGAACATGTAACAGTAAGACATCTGGAACAACATTTTGGCAGGCATCTGGAACAACATTTTGGCAGGAACACTACTGTGGTTGGAACAGTTCTCTTTGTGTGTGATTGAGCTAGTTGTGTACTGTGTTTTATTGTGTGTGACGGTGGTAGTTGTGTATTGTGTTTTACTGTGTGTGACGTCTGTCACCTTAGCAAATTATAGCGGTAATGAAGTATTTATATAATAAATTAAGTAACCATATTAGCGAGTTCGTTACACTTTGAATTCAGCCTCATAGGCATTACTCTGAAGGATGTACCAAATGTAATGTCACCTATAAAGAGATGTATAAAGCTTATTTTACTCAAGATTATGGAGAAAAGACAAACGGTGTGGAATAACCTTTTACTGGGACAAAGTTTTGCTGTGCAGAGCTCTATTAAGCCATGATAAAGCTCTACAGAGTGAGTAGTCGTTCAAATAAAAGCTGCGATGTGTCTTTTTCTTCACTATTGTCAGCAGGAAGCCATTTGGATTCACCCAGAATTGTCTGCTTCTGTGAACAAGAAGAGGTAACTAAACAAACTGAGATGTAAGATGGGATTCTTGGGTAGGTTGCGCCAGCTCTAGCCCAGTCTGCCCATACACACACACACACACACACACACACACACACACACACACACACACACACACACACACACACACACACACACACACACACACACACACACACACACACACTTGGAAAGTTATAAAGACGTCGCAGTTGGCGATAAACGCCCTCAGTATTTAACACATCTTAGGCAAACAACGACGAGAAACGGAGGCAGTCAAGGTGACAGTGTGTAAACAAAGTTGTCCAGTGCTCTTGTGCAAGTCTGTTGGACATGCGAGAAAGCTTTCTTATTGACAACACTGGAGCTGCTACTGTATAAGCGTCTACCCTTATCTTATATTGGTATTTTTTTGTGGGAGGGAGAAAAGCAACCTCATTGTTCGTCACATCCATCATAGATGTTGGCGTTTATTCACCACATCCATCACATACGATGTTTTTTTATTCATTCTCTTTTGCACTGAATGGTTTCCCTTGTCATATTCCATCAAATGGGACGGTATCCAAGCATTCTCCAATAACACTGGTTTCCTGGAGAATAACACTGGTTTCCTTGTCATTGTTCATCACATAGGATGGTTTTTTTTTTCCCTATTATACTCCACATAGGATGGTTTTTTCCCTATTATACTCCACATGGGATGTTTTTTCCCTATTATACTCCACATAGGATGGTTTTTTCCCTATTATACTCCACATAGGATGGTTTCCCAATGCATACTACATTAGAAAAGATGTTTTATTAACATTATTAAATAAACTATAGTGTGTCACGACTGCTGGCTCAGCTATTGAACACTGTCAGCGGATCTGGGGCTTATACAGTGGCATTTTCTTTCCTTGACGCGACCCACAAGAGTTATCTCATACCACAAAGCTACCTATTGTTTGCTGCTGGGTGAAGGGTCACAGCACCTTTAATCCCCGGACGAGGCCTGGGGCTCGAACCCGAAACTTTTGTTTCACGTTAGTTTAAGAGGACAGCCACGCATGCACATTCCCTATGGGACACTCTCAATGTGCTTTCTTTCAAGCGAGTCAGCTACCACATCAGCACACACACAGTTACCATTAGCAGAGGATTTATTGGCTATGGTGGTGGTTAATGGTGCTTGTGAGCAGACGACCCAGAGGCGAGGATAACCACGTGGGTTACGACCTGGGGATGTTTATCACGAATGGCCGGAGTTAGTCTGCACACAGGGGGAGCTGTGATTGCTAGAGAACAAACAGTTTACACGTTTCTGTCAGCGTTTTGAGTCATTGGCGCTTGTTTATAGCTCATCCCCAGAATGGTAGGTTAATCTAAGGTTCTCTCTGGGCTTCGCTCAGCTCGTCTTTCCCCTGCATGGCAAAATTAGACGAAGAAAAACGGAAGGTGCATCGGAGAAGGCAAGCCATGTTTGAAACAATGTTTACCAGCCTCTCGTAGGAGGCGAACATTTATACAGTTTTATTAGGCTATAGCGTTTCATCAGTCACCGCTATTAGCGCCACATGAACCGTGGCTGCAAACATTTGGGGCACCCACACGCCAATACCACCAATGATAAAAGTTATCTATGGAAAACAGGAATAAATTTAGGGCTTTAAAATAAAGTAGCGAAATATAAACTGAACTTTATTTACCCCTCTCAACCCCTCAAGGAAGGCTCCTTGATGCCAGTGAGAGGCATTGTGTATCATTTTTGTAATACGTTTTTATGTTCTGGCAGTGTACGGTGGAGGCGCAGGCGGCAGCAGCAATAGACACGAAGGAGTGGGCGTGACCACGGGCAGCCACGGACGCCGGAAGAGGACGTGGACACGGGCGGTGTTCAGCAACCTGCAGAGGAAGGGGCTGGAGAAGAGATTCCAACTGCAGAAGTATATCACTAAGCCCGACCGAAGGCAGCTGGCTGCCACCCTCGGTCTCACAGACGCTCAGGTGGGTGTGGTCACCATCTGAACTCTGGTGTAAGATTAACGTTACTGACTTAGATTATTATTTCCTTTTTAGGGATGCCAGTAAGGATTTGTTTTTCCCCCTTTTTCCAAGATTTCCATATGATAACTTTTGAACGCCTTTTCTAATTCAAACTATCCTCTTAGAGGAAGATTATAATTGGTAATGAGATGAATAGATGCCGGTTCCCTAATTTTATGGAAAAATTGTGAAATTGGTTTCCATGTGAAAACTTGACACTTCTCCCTATTGGTTTCGAATTTCGCATGGTTCAGAATTTAACTGAACGGTGTAAGTGCCAATTTCATTTAAAAATTTTGTATTTGTTTTGTACAATAGTCTCACATTATGCTTGAACAACTTCAGACTGACAACAATGATGTATGTAGCCCGACTTGTGCAGGTACAAAGTTACCAATATTATTTTAAAAAAAGTGAAAACTACTGTATTTCTATGCTATAACTGGAGAGTTCTCTTTCTAACCGGTTTCAAACTTCGAGTGCTGGTGTATTTGGTGCTACTTTGGTTTGTTATCTACATGTCATGAATCTACTTTGTTATGCGATCTACACCTTATATTGCAATCAACACGGTACCTAACCTAGGTACCGCGTTGATTGCAATATAAGGTGTAGATCGCAATGTAAGTGTAGATATTTTCCTTGTAGATGACAAGCCAAAGTAGCACCTGTGAATTTTTATAGAAATGAAAAATCAAATTGGTTTTGGACTGTGTAAGTCCCAATCTGCCAATTTTGCTAAAGAAATGAAGAAAGGGTTATGAAAGTTTTTATTTTTTTAAATGTTATACTCTAGCATATTTTCTATAAGAGAAGTGATTTTAGTTTCATTGAGATCAGTCGACTGGATTCCGTGATATGAGAAACTTAGGCTTAACTAATTTAGTGTAAAAGTCCACGGGCCTCGCTAGGTTATTTTCTTCTGATAGGTCTAATTATTTTTAAGCTGAACTCCGGCTTCTGGGCCTCTTTAGGGTATTGATCTACGGCTACCTGCCTAGCTTGGGATAATAGACCTACTACAATGCTTCTCTATTCTTATGTTTCCTCAGGTTAAAGTTTGGTTCCAGAACCGAAGGATGAAGTGGCGTCATGCAGAGCTGAAGAAACGGGAGCAGCAGCAGCAACAGCAGCAGCAACAGATGCAGCAACAGATGCAACAACAGGAGGGGAACCAGTTGGAACAAGGCGAAGGGACTAGAAGAGCAGAGGAGGTGGATGAAGAGGAGGAAGGAGAGGAAGAGGAGGAGGAGGTAGTGTTGGGGGACCATGGTATGTCTTGTCTGGAGGGACGAGACGAAGATGATGATGATGACGATGATGATAATGATGATGATATCGACATGGGAAGAGGCACAGCTGATGAGACCATAGGGGAAATAAATGTAGTTTAAGGCAAAAATAATAGCCTTAACATATGTTAACAGAGAAATTATGTAAATCGATGCCCTTTGATGCTACAAAACAACAGTAGTGACCACAACACATCCTGTGCTAACTTCTGTGTCACAAAAGAAATGTGTATATTTGTGTATATATACTGAAATGCGTATTTCTAAGTGTAAATATGGTGAGAAGTGTGTAACATTCAGTGTATATATAGTGAAGAGTTTACTTTAATCCCTGATTTAGGTATTAGAGTAGCCTTGACTGGTGGTGTGAAGGTTACATTCGGTCTTAATGACCCTCGTGTAGTCAATAGGCTTGAAACCCCATAAGCAGTGTTATTTAGAGCAGAGAAGTGAAATAGAAGAGGACACTTGCAGATATTGAGGAATAAAATCAAACGGGTTATTTTTCTTCTTACGCTGAAACAGCCTCTTCCAAAGACGCTAAAATAAAATAAAAATTAAAATGTGCACAAACCACGGGACTTATTATTTTAGCAAAACTGCTGACTCAGGTGATGTATGTATATGGATGGAGGCAGTCTACCTGGAGGTCATTATTTTAGCAAAACTGCTGACTCAGGTGATGTATGTATATGGATGGAGGCAGTCTACCTGGAGGTCGTTCCGGAGGTCAACGCCATCGCGGCCCGTCCCCGACCAGGCCTCCTGGTAAATCAGAGCCCGAGTAACCACTTCGTTACTACTGGCCGCACGCAATCCAACGTACGAGCCACAGCCCGGCTCTCGGGCACTGACTTTAGGTATCTATCTAGTTCTTGAAGACAGCCAGGGGTTTGGCAGAGGTGCCTTGTCATCACCACCAAAATTTACTTTTGTCCAGAGGTTTGATTTTACGAAGAATTTTGTGTAGGTTTTTAACGTAGTTTGTGCAAGGGGCAAGCACAGGGGTTTAATGCATCGCTGATTACATACGCATTGTTATTACACTCTCCAAAACTATACACACGCCCTATTCCTTTTCCATTCCATTATTTACATTATCATACAGAAAAAATAACCAATATCTCTCCTGATCCTCTGTTAATGCTATACGACACCTCATCAAGAATGCTGACTACATTTTTTCTCTCAGATTTATATTCATAATTAGTATGCTATTGTAAAAACATGAAAATTTCCAAAATTATAAATTATTGTACTATAAAAGGTGTGTGTAGGGTTTCTCGCAAATGAAAACCACTAAAAATTAATGAAAATTCGTCTTGTGGTGCTTATTTTTGAGTATACCGTTTTTTATTTTATGAAAGGAATAAACTGCTCCAGTTTTTATGTTTGGGGCCAATAATTGCCAAAAATAGTAAATATGCTCCAGTGAGTGTGACATAACACCTCAACACAGGTTGTATGGCCGCTGAGATTAATATATATATATATATATATATATATATATATATATATATATATATATATATATATATATATAATATATATATATATATTTATATTAATATACATATTCGTGCCGAATATGTAAAACTGGTCAATTAGCAATAACTCATTTATAATTAAGCCCTTTCTGATCGACACCATGCCTAACCCTTCTAGGGTAGGGTAGGTGCCTGAGCCCGAGCCTTTAGCTCATAAGACTGTCATTTCCATTTGCCCCCTCGGGGCGGGGATGGCAGACCAGAGAGGCCTAGCTTGTGGCTAGGCCTGGGGACAGTTGGTCCCAAAGATGAGGAGGTACTTGTGCCTCCTCCCATGGGAGACTTAGGTCTCAGATACTCCCTAAAGAGGGAGCCAAGGCCGGGCCACCACTTGGACAAGGCCCGGGCCGGGAGAATACCGGCTAATCTTTAACTAACTAAGCCCTTTCTAAATTTTTCCCTTGTACGTTTAAAGATATATTTTTTTCATTAATGTTAATGTAAAAAAATTTAATTTTGCTCCAAAAGAATCTTAGAAAACTTACCTAACCTTATTATAACAAGAACAATTTATTTTAGCCTAACCCAACTAAATATATTTTAGATTTGTCTACAATAATTTAATACTAAACAAACACAGTGAAATAATTTTTTTTCGTTAGGTTCAGAATGATTTTGGCGAAATTATTACATACACAAATTTTCACTTGACCTATATGGCAAGATGAGCGTTGCTATTAAAGCCAAGATCTCAAGTTCTGCCTATTCGGCACGACATATATATATATATATATATATATATATATATATATATATATATATATATATATATTTGAGAATAAGTCCCTTATAATAATAATAATTTATGTACAGTATGGAAGCTGGCAGAGATGTGTCTTGATCTGTGTGATGCTGTTATGATGACATGAATATTCCCTGTACCTCGATTTATGTTAGTTCATGTGTGATAAGTTTGTGATGTACATCTTTTTTTTTTAATATAAACAGATCTCTGACGTCATGTATATTTTGCCTCACTGATGTCCAGTTTATATTTGCCCACTATGAGTTACGGATTTCTAAGTGTACCTTTGTTTTATTCATGGGGAGAGCTAAACCCGTAGGGCCGGCAGTGGTGGACCTACTTTTCTGGGGCCCTGAAGCTTAAACTGTTATGCGGGGCCCCTTCTCATACAGTAGACCCAAAATTTTTAAGCAATGTGGACTAAAGTGGCTTCTGGGGACCCTCCGGGATTAGGGGCCCTTTTATTTAAGCATACTTACAGAGGTACAAAAAATACAGGTAAGAGCAGCATGCCAAAGCCACTTATATGCATAGCATTACGGGCTGGCTTAAAATTAACTTAAGATTAACTAAGCAATGATGAAATCAGTGATAAATCATTATTGTAAACAGATAACTATAAAGTACAAATGAGTATTACAAAGACAGGTCATATGGTTGCATGCATTGCTGTACATTCAGTCGAATGGAGTATTCTGTTAGTAGTGTATTTAAAAAAATAATAAAGTTAGATTGGGTCCTAGGTTTAACATTTGTGTGATATAATTGTGAGTAACATATAGGATATACAATTTATAAGGTTCAGTTATTCAGTATTTATTTGGTTTTGAGTGAGTAAGTGATCTTTGAGAAGAGACTTGAATTTATAAACAGGTAGTGTTTCTTTTATATTTACAGGTAATGAATTCCAGAATTTAGGGCCTTTTATGTGCATTGAGTTTTTGCATAGCGTGAGATGGACACGAGGAACATCAAAGAGTGATCTGTGCCTTGTGTTATGGTCATGTGTTTCTGTTGAGGTTGGCAAGGAGATGTTTGAGGGGAGGGTTAATATCAGAGTTAAGTGTTCTATGTATGTAATAGGTGCAATAATAAGTATGGATGTTTTGTATGGTGAGTAGGTTGAGTGTTTTGAATATTGGTGGAGTGTGTTGCCTGTAGTGGAATTTGTTATCATTCTAACTGCAGCCTTTTGTTGGGTAATTAGTGGTCGAGATGGTTAATTGTTGTTGAGCCCCATGCACAAATTCCATAGGTGAGATAGGGGTAAATAAGAGAGTGATAAAGGGCCAGGAGGGCTGACTGTGGAACATAGTACCGTATCTTCGATAGTATGCCTACAGTACTTGGAAATTTTCTTAGAAATTTGTTGTATATGTGTATGAAATTTGAGTCTATTATCGAGGTGGATTCCTAGGAATTTTCCCTCTGTTAGCTTTGTGATAGGTGATCCGTTTATTGTTATGTTAAGAGGTACATCTGTAGCTCTGTTACCAAACTGAATGAAGTAGGTTTTGTCAATGTTTAGTGTAAGTTTGTTAGTCCTCATCCAGGTAGATATTTTCTGTAATTCAGTGTTTACAGTATTGGCTAGCGTGACTGGGCTCGGGTGAGAGAAGACGTATGTAGTGTCATCTGCAAAAAGTGTGGGTTTGAGTAATTGTGAAGCATTTGGTAGGTCATTTATGTATAGGAGAAAGAGAAGAGGGCCAAGGACACTTCCCTGTGGGACACCAACTGTAATTGGTTGTGCGGAAGAGCTTGCCCCATTTGCGTACACATATTGGCTTCTGTTGCTGAGGTAAGACTTGAGGTAGTTGAGGGAGTGCCCTCTAATACCATAGTGTGACAATTTTACGTGGAGCAAGTCATAGTCAACTGTATCAAAAGCTTTACGTAAGTCAATGAAGATCCCCAGTGGGACTTCCTTTTTCTCTATTGCAGTGTATATATGTTCTAGCATGTGTATAATAGCATCATTAGTATTTTTATTAGGCCTGAATCCAAATTGGCAGGGGTTGAGAATGTTTTGGGAGATGAGGTAGGAGTAGATTCGTTTATGAATTAATTTTTCGAAGATTTTTGAGAGAGGGTGTAAATTGGATATTGGCCTATAGTTATTCAACTCTGGTCTCCTCCTTTATGGATCGGGGTGACCCTTGCTATTTTGAGAACTGTAGGGAAGGTGGAGGATTCAATGGACTTGTTAAAGAGTGTTGCAATGATTGGTGATAGTACTTGTGACGCTTTTTTGTATATAAAGGGTGGTAAGGTATTTAAATCTCCTGCCTTGTTTTTCAGTGCGTTGATAATAAGGGAGACTTCGTATGGGTTAGTCGGAGCTAGGAACAGTGTGTCCGGGTAGTTGCCAGTGAGGTAGTCATTTGGTGGGGTATCTGAGCTTGGGATTTTATTGGCAAGGTTTTGACCCATAGTGGAGAAGAAATCATTTAGTCTGCTGTTTCTGTTGGTGGGAGTTGGGGTTCATCTGATTTTGCTAATTTTATTTCGCTATGTCGTGATATCTTTTTTGTTCCCAGAATTTCTGATAGGGTCTTCCAGGTCTTTTTTATATCACCTCGTAAGTTGGATAATCTGTTCTCATAATACAATTTTTTTTGCCCTTCTTATCAGGCTGGTTAGGATTGACGAGTAACGTTTTGTTTGGTCTCTGGTTATGTGACCCATTCTGTACTGTTTTTCATATCGGTGTTTTGTATTTATGGATTTGAGAATGCTGGGTGTTAGCCAGGGACTGTTCAGTCTCTTAGCTGTCATCTGTTTAGTTTTTTTAGGGCAGTGCTTGTTATAAAGGTATTGGGTCTTTTTTAGAAAATTATTAAAACATTCGTCAGTATCTGTATAGATTTCTAGCTCAGTGTGCCAGTCAATGTTTGTTACTGCTGTTGTGAAGTTATTAATGGCTGCCTCATTGTGAAGTCTGAAGGTGACTTTAGTAGTGTCTTGGGGTAGTTTACCAAGAGTTGTTATGAGGAAAGTAGGGTAGTGGTCTGTGGTATTATCTGTAATTATGCCTGATTTTAAAGGGGATATGGTGTTGGTCCAGATGTGGTCAAGTAGGGAAACACTAGTCTCTGTAACTCTTGTAGGTTTTGTTACTGTTGGTAGCAACATGCAGTTACTCATTGTGTTTGTGAATTCAGTAACGTGTGGGTCCTGGTCTTGCAGGAGATTTATATTGAAGTCACCTGAGAGTAGTAAGTGATCTTTGTTCATGCGTGCATCAGTTATCATACTTCCTAGGTTTTGACTAAATTGGCTAATGTTTGATTGTGGAACTCTGTAGATGTTTATCACTGTGAGAGGTTTTTGTAGGTATTTGGATTTGAATTTAGCTATTATATATTCCCCATGTTCATCCCTTGTGCAAGTATTAGTGATACATTCTAGTTGGTCTGAGTAGTATAAGCTTAAGCTTCATTACTTTCATAGTAGATCCTACGGTAGGGGTCAAATAAGCTTGGAAAATGCGTTCTAATCAGATTCGATCAAAAGGAAAGGGAGGACTCAATTCCTTGGATCAAGAGTCCTTTTGTGGAAAACTACATTTACCTGGATGTATCTCATTAGATACTACCAGTAAATGGTAACAAAGATAATTATTATTTATCAAAGCTAGAGAGACAAGTAGGAATTTTTAGGACACCTAGGTCGCAAAAAATGTCCCCCTTCGATACCTACCATACTCTATCTCTCCACAAGTTGCTCTAGACCTATATTAATTGCAAATGAAATGTACATCACCAGGAATTCTGGTAAAATTTAATATAAATTTGTGGACTGTATATTAAAATTAATAAATGATTACATATACACATATAACAGAAGGAGAATTTATAATCATAACACTCACCAATTAGTCTGGAGATTACTGTGTATCATGTACAGAAACCCACTCTGCCTATTTATGAAGAAAAACTGGCCAGAATTCTAACATAAATTAGACACTTAGCTGAAGTTCCTGAAGCTGTCCTGTCCATCTGCTGCTCAAATTATGCAGGACTGCACATCCAACAATTTTGGCTCCTATTTGAGAGGTTTTAAGCCCAATATAACCCCTAGAGCGACGAAAATTATACCTTTCACTAGAGTGCCTGTACCACATTCAAAAAACAATGGCGACTCCCCCTGCTCGTCAGCGCAGGCGCAGAGC